TGTGCATTGATGGAAAACGTTATATTTTATTTTTTTTAAATCTAATTCAAATATTCTTAAATTACATTAGATATACGTTAGACATGAACATATCTAGAACAAACGGAATTTAAATCTGGCTCAAAACAAGTGTCCTTGATTGGTGATTCGGCGGATATGAAATAAGAAAATTTGCTTACTGTCAAAGAAGTTTTGTTACCTTTTCTTGGAATAAAAAATGCACAAGTCTAGCTTCTGTCATATTACTAGAAATTATGTGTCTGTGAGTCCTAAAATATTTTATTAGAATTCATAAGTCATCTTTCTGTCCAGACATGTTTTGTAAATTACTGCTCACATTTTATGTCGAAAAGGGTACAATTTAACTTGCATATGATTGGGCTTAATATTATATTAATATAGTTATTAAATTAACAATAAAGACATCTGATCGATTTACAAATGTATTCAGTTCAATTACATCTGTAAAAATCTTTCACCGAATTTAATTTTGCTTTGAATGTTTGTGTTTTAAGCTTGTTACGCAACGTGAGTCATCGCTTTTAGTCATTTCTTTTTTTTTGTTGATTTGATTTGTGCAAAAGAAAATGTGGCATTTTAGGAAATAAAAAAAGACATCCGTTAACAAAAATTGAAGTTCTATACTTCATTGTTTACTTTAACGCTTTTCTTTTAATTTTACATTCCGAAAGTATTTCGACGATTTCTCGTTGATTAAAAATGACATTCAACAATTGAAAGGAATAAAATATAAAAACTGATGTTAATCAAAACAAGAAAGAACCATGCTGCGTATTCGAAGAAATTGGAAAGTACTTCTTAGAAATTGTGTAACGTAAATCATTGATTATGAAGGAGCTGAATCGCAAATGTAATGTGATGTAGTTGAATTTGTGTAACTTTAAATATCATGTTGATTCGTTTAATTGATTACTTGAGATTACTTTGCCATTTTGCATTCTCGTTCATTTTTTCCCAAAGTTTTGTGCGTTATATCGTAAAATTTAAACAATTACACTTTAATCTGTTTGATTTATAACCGGTATTACAAAGTTTACTTTTTCAATTCGACATTTTGTTCAAATGATTCGGAACAGAAAATCAATTACATGTCTTTTTTCTCTCTAAGATATGTAATAAAGCTGTTGCGCTCGAGATGTGCCTGTCTTCATATTTCATTTACAAAAGTGCTGGAACTGACATTCGAATGCAGAAGGCACGCCGAAATAATGGAAGATTCAATCAACCTAAATGGAAATGTTTACGACATATTAAGAAAAACAAGTCACGCATTACGACCAAAGACTGAAGCGAAATCTCGTCTTGACGTTTCCTATTGCTTCTGTAATACATTATCAAAGTCAACTGAAGAAAGATTGATTGTGTATTTCGCTACTTTATCGTTATTAAGCCGGATAAAAAACGTTATTTTTGTCATTACTTAAGAAATGTTAAGAGCTGAATGGCCACTGGAAAACGCAATGACGGTTTAAAGAACGTGAGGAATTTAACAAAAAACTGTCTGATGGAAGCCACATATATGAGAGATTTCAGCATAGCTTTATTTTATAGGACTTCCTGATCTTAATGAAACAAGCCATGTTTATAATCTAAAAAAATCAACAAATATTTATGAGAGATGCGTAGCACGATTTTTACGGACTTCTTTAAGAAGTATATTCTGCTAATAGTGAGCATTAACTTATTCTTCATGAATCTCGTGGAAGCAGGTGCTTATTCCTATTCGCAAATATATGTCTAAGGTTACACTTCCTGTGGATTTTGATCTCAGCTGCTATTATCAGATTTAGTGACGCGACTTAACTTCCGAAACAGCGCTTGGTCCAAAATATCTAAAATTTATTTAAAGAAACTTTGATGTCTGATTAGTGAATTCGCTTCCTTTCAAAAAATATACAATTTGCTACACTGAGAATATAAATGTGTCTCTTGGGTCATATAATAAGAAAATATAATCTTTTTATAACTAAAGTCTACATATTTTTTATTATCATGAATTTAAACAGTCGATTTAATCTACAAAATATGTCGAATTCTTTACTATCGTATTCGAAAATTGGCAAATAAAATGGAAAGACGCAAGTAAATATTTCATAGCTATACATGTACTCTTAAGACAATAGTAACGCTTTCAAATGTTTATGAATGTTACATGAACTGTAATTACATTTAGTGTTACACTGTTGTACATTCTTTTAAGTATTTAATATTATACATGTTCTATGACTAATTCACATTAAGTCTAACTTGTTGGTCTGCATTATTTTTTTTTCAATGCTAAATTGATATTTCCTGAAGCCAGTTTCCAGCCAACTAACGTCAGAGGAGTTCTTGTCTCGGAATGACAGAACATATAATTGTTGTTGTAGTCACGAATATCATGTAGAGAAACGCCTTGATTATAACTGTCAGGGAACATGCTACATTAACTAACATCATTGTTATCCTTACTTTCTTGTTTTCAATATTTCTTAACGCACATGTTCAAACTTAAGCATTACTTTTTCCCCAAGCTCTTCAAAAGAAATAATTTTTGCAACGTTTCCTTTTTTTAATGAGTCTGTATTGGATTTTATTTATTTTTACGCTCTCGTAGGCTGTGTGGATTTGTGAAAAATAACATTTAGATTTGACACATTTTAAAAATTGGTTCTCATATCTTCATTTTTACAAAACTATTAAAATCTAACATTACTCATTCTGTTTTCTTACGGTCTCTGTTCTAGGAACATTCGGCTATATTTATTACTGGTAACCAGAAGAGAGAAACATTAAAGCGTCAAATTATTTACACATTAACTATACATGTTAATACATATACTTAAGGGATTTTTCATTTGTTCGTGAGAAACTTTGCCGATTACTTATTCCAAAGCATTCTTAATGCTATCTGGAGGAGTGTTTTCAATTTCCTATTACTTCTGATGTTTGTCTCACTAAATTGTGTTCCTGCGGCTACACTTTATTCAATTTGTGTCAATATATTGTTCTTCTCCGCCAGTATTACTGCACCAGACTTCCACCATATATAGAACTGTCTCTGAGGAACCCTGCAATAAACTTGCATATACAGTAATTATAACATTGTTTACGTCAGTTTAATGCATACTTCTTACGTACTTTTGAATGTTTTTTCAAGCGTTGTATTAAAGATTAACGCTAGTTTTCGGAATTCAGTATCAATTCGATAATAAAAACTGGCGAATGTTATCAAAACACTGGACCAGCCTCAACACTCAAATGGACTACATGCATTTCAAACAAATATCTCCGTAAGCAGGTGTGTGTACTAAAAGAATGGACATCAAAATGAACCATGCATTACTTTCACATCGTATCCGTTGTCTTTCATAAACGTTTTATTCTAAAACAGTTCAATGCACTTATATCAGTTCATTATAAATGATAGAAAATACGTTGTTGAATAATAGTAAGGGCCTATTTTTGTCTGCGTTTTTATCTTGAAACTTTTTGGGTCAGCTCAATTTAACGCGATAAATTGCATTCTTATGTCATCATTCGGATCCTGCATACACATATTCATACATGTATATTTTTAATTTGTCTTCATAATTTTTTGTGTTTAATGATAAAAACATTCATACATACACCTGTATTCGTTGACCTCACATGCCAAGCATATACTTCCCTTTATCTGTATAGTAGCGTCACGTGACGTAGGGATATGAATAGACTGTAGAATGGAGGAGATGTTTAGAATTACGTCAATCAAAACCTATTTTTAATAGCATAATGGAATGGATATTTTGTGTGATGACAAATAATATTGCAACAGCCGAAAATCGGTACTTTTGTTTCAGAAGAGGGAAATGGCCAGTTCACTATGTGTTTAACTCTCTAGAAAATGTTAATGATCTTTTATGATCACTCCAGTTATGTTGATGATAATTATAATTTGACCCTCGAATAGCGCTTCAGTAACATTAATGATAATTATAACCTGATTCTCAAAAGGGCTGCAATTACGTTGAGAATTTGTTGACGCCGGGTATGATCAGTTCATATCAGATGAGCGTTCCTCGACACGCAATATTGTTTTTCATTGTGAACACAGACCTAGACATGTTTACACAGTTTCTTCTTTTATTTATTAATATTTGTCTTAGGCTGCTGCAATGGGTTGATAATGTGTCTGGTATAGGTTATTTTTGATGTATTAGCGGCGTGTTATGTACATTTAACATCAAAATAAATACAGAAAACTCACCACGTGTAGGGGCCACCACCTGCGTTCTCAGTCTAGGTTGACATTTTCGTATTTAAAACATATCTTCCCTGACTCTTTGCGATGGAGGATGTAAAGTTGAGCTTGCTATGATTGTAATACAATATACAGACTAGAAATAGCTTTCACCTTTTCATTTTGCAAGTCATTTAATAAATCCAAATGAACCTTTCTATTCTTAATATTCATTTTCCTACAGTATAGTAAAATAGAGACATGTATAGTATTCCCATTAGTATTACACTGTAGGCTACTTGGGGAACTGGTTATTATTTTATATTCGTCCACAGAGAGGAAACAGAAAGCCATACATATGTAAATATTTAGCCTTATTATAATATGATATCCTATCTGGTATTGTAATGTAAATTTCATCATCAGATGAATCCGTTGCATATGAACATAATGTTAAGTTATTGTACACACACTGTTAGGTGTTTATATAGACTTCGTATGTTGTTTGCAAGAAACGCCAATGATTTAACATGTTATGCCTATTTGACAAGTTATTCCTGGTATGTAAGTAACATGTATAATAAATTGAATTACTAATACTGTACTTTTATATCTGCTTTTATGTTAAATTAATTATCAATTAGAAAAACTAGTCATATGTTGTCCATAAAGTAAACATACAATAAAAACGTTATTCAGTTTTCAACATTTTTAACTATTAGGATGTTTATAACGTGATAATGATAAAGGTTTGAAATATAAGCCATTTCTTTTTCAGATGGTGTATTGGTATGAAAGTTTGTTTCTGTACATCGTTTCCTTTCTGGTACAAACACAAGGTATAGATCCATGTAAGTATATAATTATTATTTCCTAAATATGATCATGTATATAAATGTTTCCAGGGCTTGGATAACGATTTAATATATATTTTGTGTTTTGTATGAGAATATGGGGTGTCCGTACTGTCATGACCTGAAAGGGCTGGGCTCATTGACCCTCATTTAGCCTAGAATACATGCATGGAAAATATGGAATTTCGTCGGAGAATATGTAGAAACTGTTGAAAGTGCAATTTTAAGTACAATTTTAAGTAAGTTATGTTGACAAAAAAAAAACGTAGTGTAAGGAATATCTTAGAAATCAAAGTGTCTTTTTAGACATTGCACATTACTCTTGATAGTGATACTAACCGCCATATCCGACATTATTTGATGCAATCAACATATATAGTATATCTTTTATATCCTGGGAGAATCAAAAGATTTAAATAAGGTTGATATGTTGTTTCCTTTGAAGTATGGTATTATTTTGTAAAAAAAGTATACTTATTAAAGCTTTAAAGTAAAGGACATTCATCCATTTATATTTTCAAATTATTTTCAACTTAAGAAAAAGAGGTAAAATATTGGCATTCCCAAGTATTTAACTTTGCTATTAGCAGGAATTTATATAGAAGACGTTCGTTGCCAAAATTCCAGACATGTAAAGTGTTCTTTTTAAATATTACTTTTGAAAAATGCGATCTTGGATGCCTACTATTTTTATTGTAGCACATAATATGCCTCTTAATCGAATTTTTAATTGACGGTTCCCGCCTTTATGTAACAAGTTTACATATAGATTGTAACAACTTACCTAACATGGAAAACAACAACATATTGACGAGTGCATTTTCAAAAGTAGTTTTCAAAAGGAACACTTTAAATGAACGCTCTCCAAAATTATGTATGCATTTAATTACAAAGTAGTCATATGTGTGTCAATGCGGGCTTTTTAAATGATAATATAAAAATGAACAAGACGTTTGTCATAAATGTCTCGAGGGAATATGTTTTACTCGATGTCACTGTTCCTGGCTAAGTTTATACAGAGTATCAATGCTGATTGGATGTCAATGAAATATATATAATATCTTTCTCACTGTAAACATTATCATATTTGCATATATTTGCATACCATGCTTTTTGGGGGAATCGGGGGAGACATTTGTTTTCCTTGGTAGCATGATTAGTTGTTTATATATTGTTATACAATGGTACAAATGATCTAGTATAACTAACGCATTGTTACCCAAATGATACAAACGGAATAGACATTTTAACGGTCACTCAAAATAAACTTTGTCATTCAATGCGATTTAAATGAAAATTGTAACATGGCACCTTCTGTATTTTGTACACGGGTAAATTTTTGACACTAAAGCCATGTAAAAATCAATATCGATGCTTTAAAGCGCAACGTTCAACACTGGAATATTTAGTTTTGACGATAAACATGATCTTTATAAAAACATTGACCTCACCATTTATACCTTATGGAATAGCAATAATAATTCTGCGGTTGGCAGTAATATTGCATTTATTGAAATATCTGGTAGATCATCTGCATATTTATAGAGTAATTCGAGGTTGATGCACATAAAAGCATTAATCAAAGCTTGTCTGCACATGAAAGAATAAATGAAATATTCCATTGAGCATTGCAATCAAAATCAACAGACCTAAAATGTTTACTTAATATGGACGTTTCCATATTTTGTCTGTGCAACAAGTGGAGATTGAAATAATATTTTATCCGGTATATTATCAAATGTTTTGCCTTATAAATACAGAATAATGCATTTGATCCTTTGATAGAATCCCTAGTGGGAGGAAAATATCCCTTAGATCATTTTGAAACTCAAAAACACATTATTGATCAGTTAGGATGCTTGTTTGTGTTCTGGTGCCTTCAGATGTTTTTGTGAGTTTGAATTGGTATAACACATTATAAATCACATCACTAGACAGGCCATTATTTGTCTGTACTCCAGGAAATGAAGACAAATAGGCGTGTTTGTTTTAAATTTATCATCCTCCTCAGTTTGCCCATACTTGTTAATATTTTTTATATGAATGATCTGAAATGGTTTCCTAAACTGGGAAACAGATTCCAAATTTTAAGATGAATTCAGAAAACTTTTCCTTTTACACTTGTTTTTGTAGTAACTTGGGAATGTAGTCGGGTTAAAGTATTTAAATTTTAGAAATAATCAGTTTCCTATGAGAACTGAAATGATGGGTTTCCTCTGAAATAACGATGCTTCACAAAAATTAGTTATGCTAATCTTGTAATAAAGCTTTCGTGTTTCGGTTTGAAAAACATATTTAATGTTTATTATTTTTGTCATCATCATCATCATCATTATTTTCATTATCATTTTATTATTATCTATTGTTATTGAAATCATTCTTTATATAGGATTGGATTATTTTTCTTCTTGAAAACAAAATCATCTGTACGTGAAGATTTCCTTTTCTTCAACGGTGACAGTAATGAGTTCATTAAGCCGGAAAGTAATCCTGAATTTAGATCAAAGAAAAAAAGCACTTTAAAAAAATGTTTCTATATTTTATGCTTATTATAATGTTTTAGGTTTTTTGTGCTGTCTGATTGTCATAAAAATGATTCCTTAAACTGATTCAATGTTGTTATTTATGTCATCTTCAATGAAATCGTTTCGTGATTTCAATCGTTGAACCCTCTCCTTTGCGGATCTAAAATTTCTTTGTATGGGCATATCGACTTTCGGTTTTTGAAAAGTCAAAGTACATTAAAATTGCCAAAATGAATAGCCAATGAAAGGCACTGAAAGAAAATTAAGTGAACATTTGTTTTAACTGCATTGTACAATACATGTGTAGATTTATATATTAATTTAATATATCAATGACAGACTTAGTCGCTACCTAATGAAGGATTTACTGCAACTGTATGGATAATTTTAACCTTGAAATGTTAATAGATTTGTATCAATATGTGTGTAAATAACATGTATTTAATATGAAATGACGACCATTTATTTGCAGCATCGGACGCTTGTCTAAACATTGAAAGTGATTACAATCAACCTAAAGGTAACATAACGGAGGAAAAGGACCATTTGAAGATTATCTTCTCTGCTTACTTTGCATATTTTTGCTCTGTAGTTCATATACTTATTCTGAAATGTATAACATATTTAGACAAAACATTTAAATACATTGTGACCTGGTGATATTATTTTATATAGATTTACTTGTGTATGGACAATCAAAATTACTATTTGAAATTTAATTTTTAAAAGTTAAATATTTACACAACACAAAAGTGACAGATTTTAAGCGAGATAAAACTGAATTATCATTTTTGCATTTTTTTTATCTTAAACATACTCGATATTGATTTATGAATAGTATAAAGGTTGGCAATTCAAAAAAAAATTGTTAAAGGCTCTTAGTTATTTACAAATACAAAGTCTATTCTTTTACGCTTTAATGCAATGAAACAAAAGTGACATCCATTTTCTTTTAACGTGTAATGAAAGTTTTTGTACACATGCGAATACAGAATGACAATGTTTCAATAAACAATCTAAAAATGTAATAGATATTTCGACAGGCAGATGTATTTCCTTTGATTTATAACGGGAATATATTCTTATGTGTTATACAAATATAGGAAGGAAATTTATAAAGCTCGTATTTCGATTATTTCGATACTGGTTATAAATGGCCTTATAATGCTGTCAAACACAAGATGTATGAGGAGACACAAAGTCCTTGTTTTAATAGCTTTTTGTGTGTGTTAATACTGCATGCAAGTGATACTCTGAGTTTCCTCATATTGTCTAAGTAAGAAATCACATTTTAAAGGTGTTGAAACATTGCCATGTTCTACATAAAACAAGCGCGTTGGCGTAAAATGATATATTTATACACTTTTTGAATTTAAGTATAAGGAAACTCCGATAAGATAGATTATAGAAAGTAAATATTGTGCAGAATCATTCCTTATTTTGTCAGTATTCATTAATTGTGAAATCCAAGTAGGAATTGACGTAGAGAATCAATATTGTTTATTAATTTTGACATTGCTTTTTGTTGATTCTTTCAGCGTGTGAGTGTGTCACTTTCCAAAGTTACGGACTATCTACTGGCCAATTTCATTCTCCAGACTACCCGATTCCGTACCAAAGAGGGATTAACTGTATCCTGTACAACTTTGTCGGTGACGTCAACGAAATTGTTGAAATCAAATTTTTAGATATGGATCTCAAAGGCCCAGTACCGATTGGTCTTAGTCAAACACAGTAAGTATGAGCTTTTTAAATAGTGAGGTCTTTATAACATCGACTCTAGCATTGGATTTAAGTATTTTGTTCTTGTTTTATGAAACAACAAACCATCTTCATTAAACAAGTACAATATATTTGATATAGTACCGGTGTCTTTCAATCAAAGCAATCATTATCAGTTGTATCGTCGCGCTTTTAATTATAAAATTAGTGATTAAATGAAGTAAAATCCTAAAAATTGAAGTAATAGGATACAAGGATTATGAAATATACATTACTTAAATAAGACATTTTTCTTTAACCATTTAAATATTTAGAGAAAAATAAGAAAGACCTTGCTAGAATCCATAATCGTTGTTTTTTCGGTGGCTGCATTCCGTTTACGTCGTCTTCTATTATACACTCTGTATAATATAAAGTAAAGAATATGTCGTTTACTAGTCTTGCAACTTAATGACTACTACTACTAGTTTGTGCATTTAGTGTCGAAGATTGCTTGAAACTGCTTATACCGTTGCTAGTGACAATTAGGGATGATTTACATTACATCTTACAAACTCTATATAAACTAATAGCAAACACACAGAGTCCCTACAGGACACTCATTCAGCAACACTGAAACTGAAACAGGTTCACTCTGTTCAAATGAGTCATTTCTTGGACGGTAGTGGTATATGTTATCTACCTCCGCGCCTACAGCACGCACCGGCTAATGCTATTCTTCAGTTTTTAGCTACTTGTGATTTTCAATCCTCTCCAAGCAATTCCTCTTTCTATAATCCCTGTATTTAAATCTGTACTTGTCTGTCAATTCTGATTGAGAGAAATAGTATGAACGATAAGATGTAATATTTTAATTCGCTAAAGTTTCTTTTAAATGTTAACATTATTTCAGGACAAACAGAAAAGTTGCTTTAATCTTTACGTTTTAATGTCTACATATATTAATCTCTAAAAATCAGCATAATGCCATTAAGAATGTCATTATTTTAAGTAACTATTAATTTCATTTGGGCTGTAATAGGATTTCAGCTTCTAAAACATAGCATGTGCATTCTTTATCCAAATCCGACAAATTCAGTAGGCATTTCCTAGACTTGAATGAATTTCTGCAATAAAAGTAGTTTACACAAATTTTTTTGAGCATAGTATATCTTTAATATTTCATCTTTCTTGAGTTATTCAAAACTTATTCTTGATCCGACAGGCTTCCCATTTCGTTAATAGAACTGTGGCATGTAAATATTTAACTTTAAGTTCGTGCAATTTGTTTACTTAACAATAAAATCATGTAAGAAATTAAACGTAAATGTATTTCAGCGACTGAATACAAGATTTATGTATCTTTTTAACAAATATTATACAGTGTGTCGATTTGTTTGAAGACAACTTTGTACTTTTTGTCCCTTTTTAAAAAACGATGCTGGCTTTCTGTGAAACAAGGTACATAAATGGTTTATTGGCGTCCGCGCCGAAGCGCGGCGCTCTTATGGAATGAGATCAGATTTTGTGAAAGGGCGACAGCAACTTCTCGAGCCTTTTAGTCGGTCATAATAAAAGCCGAAAATTCCGATCGGTATGAGGGTGCTTGATTATTAAAAATAAGAATGAAATGTCGCGATTATGTTACAATGAATTTTTCGCAATGCAAACATTAAAAAATGAAATAACCTTTTCCGTCAATAAAATCGCGCTCTTCGGGGTTTTTTATTTATCATTTTTAGTACACAGTCGGTTATCATGTCATGGTATGTTATTGTTGTACATGTATCCTAGAATGATCAGTTGATGACCTAATATTCCAAAAACCTATTTATAGATATATCTTTTTATCACTCCTATCGGTAAATGCCGGTCTCTCCCGGTCTATTTTGACCAGGATTTACTAGTGACCGGCGAATAGTACGCACACGTTTATTGTCCGGTCTCTCCCGGTTTTGGAGTAGATGTTTGATATCGTTACAATTAGAAAAAAACAAAGCAATAGCATGTTTCATTTTATCTATATGAGATAAAAACAATAAATATGTACACGGATTAATATGTAATATAAATCCGTGATATGTACAATAATTGAGAAAAAAGGTACATTTTTTATGGTATTAAAATGACATTATCAACTTTGAAACATTTTATTTAATTATTCAATTTGTTATCCGTGTTAAGTAAAGATGCCGAGGAATTATTCAAAGTTACAAATTAGATTTTAATGAATTATTCAATTGATCGATAATTTAAAAAATGATAAAGAAAAATACAATGTACATGTACATGGTTTTAAGAATAAACAATATTATATATTGAAAGATAAACCATAATTTACTGACTTTTTCCAGTTAAGCTTTGACTTATAATCGTCGGTCAATATGACAATTGAATTCTTAAAATTTATTTTACAATTTAATAAAAAAAGAGTAGTAAAAACTCAGTATTAAAATAGCACATAAAACACAAAAAAAGAATAAAAGAAAACAATATTCATAAAATTTGTATTTTTTTTTTAAATTAAAATTAATAGATATTACCATTATTGTATTAATTTAAACCAATTAATTTCATTCTGTCAACATGGTTATTTAAACTAGTGTCATTTTTATAACAAAGTCCAAACAAATTAAGTAGGGCTTCGCTAATTAATGAACGAATAAAATGAAAGTTTAGCACAAATTTGTTGTAGCATAGTATATGCTTTAATATTATCTGATTATTAAATTATTTGATGACAGGCTTCCATTTGCTTAATAGAACTGTCATGAAAAATTTTTAACAAGTTAATATTTCTTTCTTAACAATAAAATTCATTAATTAAACAATGTCTTTCGTCGCTGAATACAAAGTTGTATCAACATTTTCGTGTGTCGATTTGTTAAGAAAATTTTTGTCATTTTTGTCCTTTTTTAAAACCATGCGGGCATTTCTTGTTGGAAACCTTTGGTTTCATCAATGTTTTCTTTATTGTTTATACTAGGAAAACAGACAATGTTTATCCAGACAAAATCTAATGACTGTCATTAAAGAGGGACGCCTATATCTATAAAATAACTGTAAAGTCCTCTCTCGTGTAGTAAATATGTCGAAAGAAGTTGATTCACATTCGGCGGGTCGCACAAAATTGTACTTTTCACTGCTAAAGCACAAAACACAAAAATAAACATTTCACTCAAGTTATACATTGTACATTTGAAATTCAATTTTCTGTTTTGAAATGTTCATAGACACGAAATGGCTAAAACATCAAATAAATGCACCGATGTTCGATTTTTAATTAAATTCCAACGCCAACCTTTTTTCATTTGGTGTGTTTAATTGTCTCCTACCATTATTAAATGTCAATCTTGACTCTATAAAGCCGTTCCTCTTTTTCAGATGTGTTTTTCTGTAAGAAAATGCTTTATTTTCTAAGGAAAATAACGGGTATTCTGACAGTGCAACTTGAACGTATTAATTGTTATTAAGAAAATATTATGTCAAGCAAATAAATGTATACATAGTCTGAGCTACTATCAATCTGAATCAGTTTAGATATTTTCTACAGTTCCTTCATTATATATGCGCTCGTGCTGTTTTCATATAGTGCACAATATTTTGTCATATTTCAATATATATATTTACATAGATAATCATTATTTGAAATATTGCACCATATTTCAAATATTTGGACATATTTCACAATGTTTTGATATATTCCTACATGGTCTGTCTTAGAAAGTAAAAGTTTTAAAATCATGTAAATTGAGGAAAAATGAAGCAAATATTAGTTCAGATAAACAGCAGCAATCACGTTATTAGGAGTATTCGTCCTGGAATAAGAAATTTTTTTTGCATCTGCCTCTGGAAAAAGACGCGGGACAGAAATGGCGTTGTACAATATAGTTTTCGTCTCTCTATTTTAGTAAGTCCACTATAATTGAAACAACATTGTTATGTAAAAGGAAATTGTTGAAAAAAATAAGTTGAAGTTACATTGCAAGAGTTTCACGAATTTATTAATGAAACTGCAAAATCCTGCATAGTTCTTTGATTTATTTTCTTTTTTCCCTAGATTTACAAGCACGTGCGATATAGTGTATAATTATATTATTTCATCAAATACTCCCTGCGTTATTACTAAGTATCCACTATTTACTTCATACAAAAAGAGCAGCTCAATTGTTTTACTTCAACATACTTCACTTCAGTTTTTGTCTGTTCATTCATCACTAAGTCCAGGACTTTTAAGTTGTTTTCAGAACTGAGTACTGCTCAAGCCGGTGCTAGGGGGCGTGAGGGATGTTGTATTTTTCATTATCCCCCATGTACAGACTCAATCAAACCATTTATGCAATTTTAAAGTAATTTTGCTGTTCTTAGTGCTTTCCAGTGATAACTTTTTCCAGATATATATTGACATATATATTGGCAAAAAACATATAGCATATAAACCTTAACTTGCCAGTTAAATCTCACAGCCAAATATGTCATGCAAACAAAAAATAATACACTGCAATAAATAGGTTTCTTGTTCTGTTTTCCAAATAATTACAAATTTATCAAAAATACAACTTTGAAAACTTTTAATTGTAATAACATAAAAATTGTATTCCAAACACCTTATAATAATATTGTTGTTTTCAATGCAATGATGTAAGACAATCTTTAAAGCCTCAAGATCAACTCATATTTAAAACAGTATCATATAAGTAAATGTAAATGTATTTCATTACAGTATACCAAGACCGGGGACTTATTGATTTTCCTAACTTATAAAATGTTTTTCATACATGAATGTATTCATATGAGAGATATTGCAAGAAAGTGATCACTAAAAACTGTAAAAAAAGTAATAACAAGTAATACGGTTACACAATAAAAACACATTACAGAAGCTGCCTAGATCAATTTAGTAGACAAAATGAATGAATTTTACCCAGACTGCTGACACCCTATCTGTTTGTAAAACAGTCGATGCTGAAAATACATCTTCAATACAAGTAATGAAGTTTTAGTATTTGAGTCAATTGAAATGAGACAAATTATATGAAAGACAAGATTAAAGTTTCAGGGATCTTGCATAAAATGTTAAGAGAAGGTGTGATCCCTTAGGGGCAATTAAAAACAGAAAAAGGTGAAAATTACAGACACTGTCTGAGTGTGTAGATAAAAAATGAAAGTAACTCGCAACCCAAGACTTCATACACCCCCAATACACTCACTTTTGGACTGGCTTAAGGGGCATTCAAACCGAATCTGCAAGAATTTCAACTTTTCTTGGTTTTAAGACCTTTAATGTTTCCTTTTTTACACAAAAAAGTTGATTTTGCAACATTGTAATTAAATCTTATTTACCTATAGTATACCTTATGTACTTTATTTTGCTTCATTTACTATGATTTTAAAGATGATTGAATCCACTTTGTGTTGGTTTATACAATGAAAACCGGCTAAGGCAACATAGAAAAACAAACAGTAGTTGTTCAAATAAAGACACCCAAATCTTCTCTAAAGAGGTTCTCTGCAAATAATTAAGATATATCGGTATTCTTAAAATTCATAAATATGATAGAAGTGCATTCCTGACTTAGTTATTTCAAAAAAGACTAGATATAAAACAAAGACAGTGTTTGGAAATAGGGTTTATGCTTCGGTTTTATCACAATCTTCTATCTCGGATATGTCGAGGGAATAATTCGTCCTAAAATTGTGCTGTAGTTTCAAGAGCAATGTGGCATATAGTAGTACATTTTTATAAACAGAAAGTACCTTCGTGGTTTCGCTTGTCACATAAGATATTCAAGTGGCACTTTATATACGTGCAAAATGAGAGAAATGAAATCAGCTTAAGAAAATCAGCTTCATAACTCCGAGAAACTTTGCCTTAAACAAATTATTCTGACTGGTACAAGCTTCTAGGCGACACGTGCAAACGATATTCGGGAAAATCAAGGCGACAGTAAATAGAAAACATTGAAGTGATGTCAGAATGCTTCTAAGAACCGCCCACTTCTTTGTCTTTATCTTCATTGATTAAGATAGGTGTATGTTGAACGAAATTGTTCTCCGTTTATCATTTAGAAGGATGATATAAACTATTTATTATATGTGTCAGAATGAATTGTAGATCAGATATAATTATTGCAATCAAAAACCTGCCAACCCTTTTTAAAATATACTATTGTTGAAAAAGTGTGAAAACATATACATTGTTCTGATCTAAGTAAAGATACTCAGATGTATCAGGTATATCAAACTTATTTGGACTAGATTGATTAGATGCTGGATCTAAATTCTAATTAATCATTTAAAAGAATAATCAATCGTCAATATACGATCTTTTTTTCTTGCAGTAGCAAACTGAGAAATTATATTTCTGTCCCTATTAGTATTTATATACATAGGAAATGTAATAAAGTAATGATGCTACACGTTTTTTTTTTTTTTTTTTTTTTTTTTTATAATTACAAAATCAGCCCCCCCCCCCCCCCCCCCCCCCCCCCCCCCCCCCCCCCCCCCCCCCCCCCCCCCCCCCCCCCCCCTCCGAATGAGAAGGAGATGTTTTCTAATAGAAAGAACTAGACTTGTTTTTTTATACTTTCAAAATGTGTTATTGGTTGCGTCTATTATAAACAAATGTAGTCTGTTCTTTTTGATAAGCTGATTTGTTTGAATTAAAGATTGTTAAGCTAAAGCCTAAAGCTGGAGTAGGCTTGAATGGTGTCAGTATAAACAAATAATATCCACCAAACAGTGTTGAAAATGTATCTGATTAGCTTATGAATACTTCATTTTAATTTTCAAACACTCGTTTACTCAACATATCTTATACTCAACATATTCGCATATATGACATTTTGGAAAGCTTGGAAATTTCAGTATACTTTAAATCATTATACACTTTATTTTAAATTAGCACGTGCTCGTATCTATTGATATTCGCGTAAATTTACAACTGATATAACTGTCTTGAGCAAAGTTTCAATTGATAAGTGTAGTCAAAATTGAGAGAGAAAGACAATTTCTTGCATAAATAAGAAAACAACACATCCATACACAACTAATAAACGACGAAATGAAGAAAATAGAAAACCAATGTGTTTACCATTTAACCCTTCAAATGACAAGTAAGATATCCTTCAGCGTACACAAGACCTTGAGAAAAATACATTTGGCCACAGCCTTATTTTGGGATTTTTTTCCATTGGTAATAAACTCTGTTTGTAATCAAATAAAAGCTGCGTCACACCGTTCAATAAATGTCAACATTACTTTTCCTAAATGTGTGTTTTTATAAACCTTTTCCCTGAGGTATTATTTGGTAATCAGTCTTAATGTAATAACTTAACGAAGCTCTAGAGTCTGTGTGACATTCGTGAACAGATAATATAGGATACAAGCCGCTTCTACTCCGGATATGCTCAGTGATATATCACAAATCCTGCATACCAATTTTTTGTTCTTTTTTTTCTATTTTTTCACCATCAATGATCTCTGCGAGAAAGCATGCAAACTCCAAATAAATAAAAGGGAACAAAATGATTGATAGCTGTCGTTATGTTTACCGAGTAAAATATACAGCTGTCTAGTTTAATTAGAAACGTGTATATAAAAACTGTAAAACACCAAATCTCGAAATTAGCTTTTGCTTTAAAGTGTTACTTTTCATACCATGAAAACGTTTAAGTAGATAATATAAGTTAAACGAGTACATTTTAAAATGAACAAGACATTATGTTTCTGTCTTTTGTAGATGTAGGGATTGGTTACGAATTTACAAGAATTTGGATCGAGGGGAGATAAATGAGAACGTAAGACACCAAGATGAACTATGTGGAAGTCTAACAAGCTTAGAGGATAAAAAATTCTATTCTAGCGGCCGCGCTCTAATTATGGAATTCCATACAGACACCGAGGAGTCGACAAGAAGATTTACCGGGTTTAAAGGCCGTTTTACATTTTTAGATAAAAGTAAGTAGAGTCGTATATGAAGTAATAGATCAGTTGCTACAACTTTTCCCCCGATACATTTACCAAATATAGACCTATCTGTCATTGCCATTCTAATCGAGATAGTCCTGTGAGAGAGGAAGTTCGTCGTTTTAGAGAAAACATTATCACAGGTTTTATACTTTTACTGACAGGAAATCTCGCTGGGACTAATTAAAACACGGACGGGTTTCTGTTACTTCTATTTCCAAGTGCACACCAGGGCTGCTATTTTTATGTTTGTAATTAGCATCAATCTCAGAAAAAAATATATTGCAGTCAATTAATTAGACATTTAATTGTCTTTATTTAGTAATTATTCGTTATAAAAGAGATCCAAATATATATACTGGTAAGTTAGGCATTTAACCTACACCAAACACATATATAGAATCAACCTTAAAGCATTGTTGTGTAAAGATAGCTGTGTTAAGCTGTATCACTGTGATAGATAATTGTTTTAAAATGACAAAACTATGATGCAATATATATGCATTGATATTAATGTTTTACAAATGATGTGGTCACAAGAAGCATCTCAAAATCTGTTCATTTTACTTTATCTTTATATGCGGCGATGGAACATGAAGTTATACATCTATTTTCAAATTTTTTATGCGGCAAAAAAGAAAAAAAGTCTAAATTATAATAATATCATATCATTTACTAATAAAAAAGATACATTAATTGAAAAATAGTTTTAGTTTATGTTTTAACTTTTCCTATTATTATATACTAAGAATTATATTCAGTGACATTGATGTAAGCTCAGATCAATTAGCTTTGAAAATATAACCATATAAATAGTAACAGTCGGAGAGACATACTTGTATTCATAAATTGTACGGTGGGGCAAATCCCGATTGTTTTTAGCTCACCTGTCACAAAGTGACAGGGTGAGCTTTTGTGATCGCTTTTCGTCCGGCGTCCGTCCGTCCGTCCGTCCGTCCGTCGTCCGTCCGTCCGTAAACTTTTGCTTTAAATGACATCTCCTCATAAACCACTGAGCCAATTTCATCCAAATTTCACAGGAATGTTCCTTTGGTGGTCACCTTTAAAAATTGTTCAAAGAATTTAATTCCATGCAGAACTCTGGTTGCCATGGCAACCGAAAGAAAAATCTTTAAATATCTTCTTTTAAACAACCCTAAGAGCTAGAGCTTAGATATTTGGCATGAAACATCTTCTAGTGAGTGTCTACCAAGTTTGTTCAAATAAAAGCCCTGGGGTCAAAATTGGCCCCGCCCCGGGGGGGGGTCATTGATTTTCCCTATATGCATATAGTAAAAACTTAAAAAATCTTCTTTTAAAGAACCGTAAGAGCTAGAGCTTAGATATTAAGCATGAAACATCTTCTAGTGAGTGTCTACCAAGTTTGTTCAAATTAAAGCCCTGTGGTTAAAATTGGCCCCACCCCGGGGGGTCATTGATTTTCCCTATATGCATATAGTAAAAAACTTAAAAAAATCTTCTTTTAAAGAACCATAAGAGCTAGAGCTAAGATATTTGGCATGAAACATATTCTAGTGAATGTCTACCAAGTTTGTTCAAATTAAAGCCCTGGGGTCAAAATTGACCCCGCCCCAGGGGGTCATAGATTTTCCCTATATGCATATAGTAAAAACTTAAAAAATCTTCTTTTAAAGAACCCAAAGAGCTAGAGCTAAGATATTTAGCGTGAAACATCTTCTAATGAGTGTCTACCAAGTTTGTTCAAATAAAAGCCCTGGGGTCAAAATTGGCCCCGCCCCAGGGGGTCATTGATTTTCCCTATATGCATATAGTAAAAACTTAAAAAATCTTCTTTTAAAGAACTCAAAGAGCTAGAGCTAAGATATTTAGCATGAAACATGTTCTAATGGGTGTCTACCAAGTATGTTCAAATAAAAGCCCTGGGTGTCAAAACTGGCCCCGCCGGGGGGGGGGGGGGTCATTGATTTTCCTTATATGTGTATAGCAAAAACTTAAAAATCTTCTTTGAAAAAACCCAAATAGCTAGAGTTTAGATACTAAGCATGAAACATCTTGAAGTAAATATCTACAAAGTTTGTTCAGATAAAAGCCCGGAGGTCAAAACTGGCCCTGCCCCAGGGGTGTCATTGTTTTTAACTATATGTGTATAGAAAAAACTTTAAAAATCTTTTTTTAAAAACCCAATGAGCTAGAACTTAGATGTTTAGCATGAAACATCTTCTTATGGGTGTCTACCAAGTCTGTTCAAATAAACAAATAAAAGCCCGTGGGTAAAAATTGGCCGGGGGGTGGGGGCCTATATACAGGTGAGCGACCTCAGGGCCATCATGGCCCTCTTGTTTTTAAAGCACTTGAATTGAACTGTCTGTTGGATCCTACTTTAAATAAGATAGGACTTATTCCGTGTGTCAACTTAGCGTTAATTACTCGACTAGACATTTCTGTAATTATGTTTCCTTCCCATAATCGTTCCGCAATTTACATCAGTTGATTTTAAGGTTAAGTGTTAAGGTTAGTGAGACTTTTCAGTCACAGCCGAGGCTATGACGTTTTTTTAACTGCGACAAAATAGTTGTTATATTACACACGACTTTAAAGGTTAAAAACCATTTGTTCTTAAAAATGAAAATTATTATTTTGACGTTATCAACCGTTATTTACAATCAAAATAGACTTTTGTGTAAAGAAGAACGATAAAGTCCCGGACATAGATATTATTGTGAACATTTCCAGCACAAGAAATCATAAAATCAAAACTCCAGGTCGAGCAGTGACCTTGAGCCGTTTTATATCTCGACCAAGAGGTTGTTGGTTCGAAGCTTATCACAGCTGCACTGTACATCTAGAGAACGATTAGTATGTGATTAAAATCAAAACAAAATAAAGCTAACTACTCATCATCTTTATCTCTATAATTATTTTTACAAAAAATGCGCCTTACGGGCTTGATTAATAGTATACCAGTATGAGACAAGATTTGAAGTTAATTTTATTTGCAATTAAAATCTGAATTAAAATAAAAGCATTTCATTCAAATTATTTACGTCATAGTTTAATTAGAGATGTTTAATTCTACTGGCTAGCTCTTGATTATTGATTTCAACTACATGTATGTTAAGAAAAATTCAAGCTTAAAATGGGTCCAAATCTTATTTCAGTGCAAGGCCTGCCAAAAACAAAACATTATAAATACTTTACCTTTTTGCTGTTTGTGCAGCCATATTAACAATCTAGTGTATGCAGGTACGCTCATGCTGACCATTCTTTATACTGTCTGTCTTGCTTCTTTATTATAGTTTATAATATTTTAACAAAGAATCAATTCCAAAACATACTAAGCTATAATACACACTTGTAGTAGACCAAGCAGGTGAACATATTCATTCAATTTAAACCCGCATTTTTTCTTAACTTGTTTTTATTACTTTTATTGATAATTGCGTTCGTGGCAGAGTAGTTAAGAGCGTTGACCCTGAAATGCTTGTCCCACATCACTGTATGTTCTTATCCTGCCAAAGTCGTTGTATTCTTTCAATGAAAGACGCTTTCCCAACCAGTAAAAAAACACGTAAATTCTTACGAACGCATGCCTAGTGTTACTTTTGCAAATTAATAGGCGCTTTGCATATATTTGTTTCCTTATCATTGAGTTGATATAATGATGTGGTTTAAACAAAGTAAAGTCAGTATTTCCTGATGTGGTTTAAACAAAGTAAAGTCAGTATTGAAAATGTGTCAGAGTTAAATCGTATACATATCCATGCACAGTAGGTTAGTTACCCGCACTCCAGAACATGTCCACTGATTGGCTCAATTTTCTAGGGTTTACGTATTGTAACGACAGAGAAAGGGGTAGCAATAAAAATATCATATTCAGATGCTCGTTTATTGTTTATTGTTTTCTGGGGTTTCATATTGTGACAAAAGGGAACGTGCATTTATTTTGCCTATGAGAACATCAGCACACTCGGGAATCTGATTTATACTCAGGGGCTACGCCCCCACCCCCTCGTACAAATCAGATGTCCTCATGTTTCGATGCTCTTTATATTACGTCGCATTCAATTTTTTTCTGCATCGTATAAAAAATCTCACTTTATCAATGTATCAAATATCAGTAGGTAGCTGACGTATAAATGATCTTTATAATGTGTGTAATCGACCGGATAATTTTGCACAACTGATGAATCAATGAGTAAAAGAGCAGACTATTATAACATATCCTGAACGAACAATACTGACTACAATATCATGATGGACGATACTCAATTGAAATGATTGGCATAGTGGTCTATTTCACTGTATGACTTCGACGTGCCAATATCTAATCTACGCTAGAATTTCCAAGTTAATATCCGCTTTAGAATTACTCTATTAAGCGTAATGGCGCATTCACGAATATCTTGTTTCCGAATTGATTACTTAACACATACATACGCCCAGATTCCGAATAGATTATAAGTAATTCAATTATTTAAAACAAAGATGCATTAACGATACAAAACTTCCTTGTTTTAAACAAGGAATCGAAAAAGATGCATCTTTCAATAAGCATAAGATACAAAATTACCAAATAGAAAAGAGAATCATCCGCTCAAAATGCCTGTGTGATATATAATTGCACGACTTTTTGTATAATAAACTGTCTAGTTATTACAGAGACATTTCTGTGTTGTATTTGTTATATTTTTTTATTTAAATTGGATAACAATATATTAATTGGCGAACTGTTATTCGTTATATATCATATTTCTGGAACATATTTCTATTGTACAGTTCTTAAACATAATTCTAACATAACACCTCTTTTAACCTAAACAGACAGTATTTATAACTCTGTTTATCTGTCAGAATTAAGTCGCATTGTAAATGAGTTTCCAAGAATCAATGTGAGGACTTGAACAAAAAAAACTCCACCATAACTATATATGTTTAAATCTGTACAAACAAAGATCGACTATACCATCTATACAGTTGCAACTGCATTTTATGACTTATGGTTTAAATTTAGAAGTAGACTGTTAGGATCAATATCAAAAATCTTACGTTCATACTTTTTTATATTTTTGTTAAATCCCACCAAAGTTCACATATAATTATCATTCCTTGTGTTAATGCTCAGAAAATTTTATTGATTGGAGAGAACAGAACATGGCTGTTAGAGTCTTTTAATATTATAACTTTTATAAAGAGACCATTCGAAATGTTGGATGTTACTTTTCCAAACATATTGGTGTTGTTGAATAATAATTCCTTTTGATTTTTTAATATACATATATACGGTGATAAGTTATACATAGCAATAGAAAATGTCCGACGTCGGCGTCGAACCAGTGTCACATAAATAACGCATTTGAACTACTTTAGAAATAAGCATTAGTTAATCGTTCACTTTTTTATATTTTGATTTATGTAAGCTAAGAAGCTAATTATGTATCATGTTTTCCGTCAGATAGGATAGATAGGTGTGGCTCATCTTTTGACCATCATGTTCCCGGTAGATGTAACACAGGCAAGCTCCAACAAACACTCAATATTTTAACTTTTATATGTGTTTTTATATATTTCACTTCAACTTTTTTCAACAATGCTTGTTCTGTCCTTCTGCTCTATTTTAACGTTTCGCACGCTTAGGATTTCGAAAAAGAATAAAAATTATAAAAAAATGTGTGCTTCAAGAATATTATGACTAGGTAATTAGTTAGTAGGAACTTATGTTGTTTTAATGAATGTTATTTAAATTAGATGCATAGTTAAGCGATTTGATATCTCATAAAATAATTCATACATGTATCAAAGATAATTAAACTTTAATGAAATAAATAGTGGCATATTTCTGCAAACAACATGCTGATCGGAATGTATTTTTGGAAATATGTTAATTTATCTGGAAAAGGAGAACAGTATTATGTGATACGGGACAGAACACATGTTTTGTCTTGGCATGTTCAATTTCCGTAACTCGAACAAGTTAAGCCTAAAGTTGTGATTCAGTTACATCCCTTGGTATTTCTGTCTCCTAGCGTGTCGTCGGTTGACTGACAGGACGGCAAAGGTTAAAGATAACCGGATATTTAGTTGCGAATCAATGACAATGTCGCCATATCCAATTGAAAGAAGATAATATATTTTCGGCAGAAGTGAACTGGGAAATTACAAAGAGTTTGAATGCTATACTTTTTAATTAGTAAGCACAACGATTATATTTGTAGCAGACGCGCGTGTTTTAAATTCAGATGTAAATGTTGTTAGTAAAAATATGCCACCATTCAACTATTCAATTAAATTATAGAAAGCGGAAAAGTGATATTTCAATTTCAATTGATAGTATAGTATAGAAGAAAAAAAAATATTTAGACGTTGAATTTTTATCTATTTAGTTTCTATCTCTAGTATATTGCTGTTTTACTTTTTTATATTTTGTGAACTTAATAATGTCCAGGGGAAGTAATTCAAGTAAAGGAGAGATCTAAATATCGCAGAAGTTGTATTTCCTTAGATGTAAAAGATAACTTGATTGATTTATCAATTTATAACTGATTAATTTAAATTTGTATGTATGATAAGTAAAAATTAAATTGGTATTTGCTTTAATTTAGATGTATAAAATCAAAATACTTCGACGTTTTATTTTGAAGTTTTTGTTTTTTTTTTTTTTTTTTTACTTTTTTAAAACAAATTTGAGGAATGTTCGGATTATAATATGTACCCGGTTTAAAACATGAAGTTTCTTCTCTTTAAATATTAACCAGGTGCTTTCAAAACAGACGGTATATTACGGTATGGTACCCAGTGTACATACGATATTCAGAACCGTACGAAAGGAAAGTTTTTCTCACCAAGATATCCTCAAAAATATCCGAAGTCATCCGACTGTCAGTTTATGTTCATGGGGAATGTCAATGAACGTGTGAAAGTGCTTTTCAAACTTATAAATCTGCCTAATCGCAGGTAGGTTTTTAGCAGTCCCTTTTTATTAACAGTTCAATACATAGTAAACAATTAATGTATGCTTTAGTCATTATACGTCATTGCCCGACATATCATTTGATTAGTCCGTCCACTAAACTAGTTTTACTAACAATATTCTGTTTACTTTATTCAATGACAGTTTAACTGAACTGGAAAATACACATAAATAAATGAATATATTAAGTAAACAAATTCGCTTCCATCTTATTTGTTTGTATGCTAAGTTTAGTTTAAACTAACTTTATTTCCTTATTTGCGAACACTTTTCAGTCGAAACACGGATTTATATTATGTAATATAAATCCGTGGTTGAAATGAAACAAAAATGTATTTTTATTTTGTTTTATCTTATTTGTACTTTGAGTATATATTTATGTTTGTTTTATTTTCTCATTTTATCAGTTGTGGTGAAAATGGAGATATGATAAGAGTATATGATGGCAGTGATAAATCTGCTAAATTACTGCACACATTTTGTGATAATACACATAACCAAGAAACATTCGAATCCAGTGGACAATACATGTATATAGAATTTCATTCGGATAGACACTACGAGGCACAAGGTTTTGCTGCTGATTATGAATTCATAGACACAAGGGAAGGTGGGTCTCCTGTACCTAGCGATAGTATGTATACACAGCTTTTTCTCAAACATTAATTCTTAAAAAGTCAACATAAGCTTACTCTTCTTTTAAGTGTAATTCTTTCCTCGAAATTCTCATTTATTTTATAAGGGCATACCTCGACAAAGTGATGCCAGGTTGTTTTCCTATAAATAATTATTAACATTTTGAAATGCATTTCTAAAATAAAATGCCTTTAAATGTGTACCACTACTTTATTAGGGCTTTTGTCTCGATTCTCCAAATAAAAGTACAGATACAAATAAGTCGAGTTGGCTCTTTAATCAATTAATCTTTTTCTGATATTTTAATTATTTGTGCATTTTAAATTGCATTCTATGTGACTCTGCTCTAAATAGATATGTTTTGCTTTGATTAAATTTGCTTTTAAGTAAAATGGAATAAAACTTTCTCTTATTTCCGAGCACTTGAAAATATTTGGGAATAGAACAACAAGAACTAACATATGCTCTCAACCAACCCATCCCCCCCCCCAAAAAAAACAAATAAAAAAATGAACTGACTTTAGAGAAAAGCAACAAATTTGCACCATTATATTAAAGTCGTCATGTCTATGGTTTATTTTACAACTGAACACATGCAGCATTTATAAATATGTTTGTATATTCTAAAACTATGTAACGGTTCTTTTTGTCCTATGAATATTTTCATACAGACGTTTTCAACTTCACAATCATTTCTTTCTACAGCAGAGATGCCTGAGAACCCCCTTGGTAAGTTACTATAGATATAGGCAAGGTAAATTCGGGTAATATTGTGTATCTTTCTTCTATTAAAACAGCTATAGTTACATGCCGATGAAGAAAATTCTGATCTGTAGTTTTCCAATGTACGGCTGGTTTCCTTGTTTTAATATATCAAATGATAATATCTCGTTCGTTTAGGCGCACTGATCGCAAAACCGTGGTCTTATACAAAAAGGACTAGTGACAGTGATTTTCCGTTTTTTAATTACGCCCTGTGAAAGTGTTTCCTCTTAAAAAATTTATTTGTCAGATATTTTATTATTATCTTAATACATTTATTAGTGTTTATATACCCGAATTTGCCTTTGGAAAACACATAAAGAGCATCTTAATTTGTAGTTTTAGGTCACATTTTTGTGTTTTGTTGCTAATTCTGTATGTATGGGTACGGTGGTATTATTACTGATTTATTGCTTTTGCAAGGAAGAGATTATTTTATGTTACATATAGATCATGAGTTTTACGCAATAAATTAATTACTTCCGATATTAAATTTACTCCCGATATTACATTTTTTTTGTGTTAGCCGAACCATGTTTTTAAATTTTCCCTGTACATGTTTCAAGGTCTATTGATAATTTTATGAGACTTAAAGAATTGAAAAAAATGCATTTTTTGTAATTATTTATGGAATTGATAATGATATATGGAAATGATTATGGTATATGGAACAATTATGATAATGATATATGGAATATATATATAGACTCAGATAATTTATCTGATAACAGATCGGATAATCTTATACATATATAAAATAAAGGAACATAGGATAAATGAGCCGCGTCACGACAAAACCAACATAATGGGTTTGCGACCAGCATGGATCCAGACCAGCCTGCGCATCCGCGCAGTCTGATCAGGATCCATGCTGTTCGCTATCAGTTTCTCTACTTGTAATAGGCTTTTTAAGCGAACAGCATGGATCCTGATCAGACTGCGCGGATGCGCAGGCTGGTCTGGATCCATGCTGGTCGCAAACCCACTATGTTGGTTTTGTCGTGACGCGGCTCAAATTATCGTCAAATTTCAATTTTATTCAACGATATATTGACTCAACTCTTTTGTAAAAGAACTAAACCATACGTATCGTTGATAAAGAAATGTTCGACTGTGAAAATGCACATTATAGAAGTCGTTTAAAGTCCTTCATATGTAGTCGTTCCTTCTTGTATGTGCCAACGACCAAAAATATCCATGGTAACGGTTTACCAAGTATGATTTTAGTTAATCAGAACAAAATATAGTTGAAATATGTATTGAATAATCAATTTCATTTAAGTTCATAGAAAAATTCTCAACATATAGCATTTGTTCATGTTTCATGAAATGATAATATCACTGCATTCGTTGTTTGTTTCAAACAAATACAAATTCTTTGTCTATATAGATTATGACCTATCTGCAGCAATAAATTTTCGTCTTCAGTACAGTTGTGTAGCGCGAAATTGCCGCGGGTTGTGTGGATTGTAACAGTCTTAAGACTAACGAAATGATTCTTCTAATGAGAACTAAAACTCTCAATATTGAAAATTTCAAAATAGAAGAAATATTTTTTCATCACTTAATCAAAAGCTTTGATTTTGTTTGTACCGACGCGTTACGTCAATGCAGGGAAGTAATCAAAGTTTTTTTTCTGGAATAGAAACGTAAAAGCAGTTGCTTCCCTTAGATTAATGATTCGCTAACTTTTTACTACACATGTATGTGCTACATACACTAGCATGAAACAAACCGAACTTTAATTGGAAGACAATGTATTGTAATAATAATACGTATCTAAATCAAAGTAGTTCAAGATTGTAATCAAATATATTTGTGAAAATCGTAAATCCAATCATTGTTTTATCCGATCATTATTTGCAAAGACTCTTAGCTGCAGTTGATTTAAAATACAACACGCCAGGTAATGTGATCAGAAATAATTGCAAAAAAAAAAAGATCATAGAATAAAAACTAAGTGATAAAATTATAAAAGTTTATTTCTATGCATATATAAGGTAAAGTAAGCTAAGTTAAGCTATTTCTGATGCAAATCATTCTTTCAGAGATATTACAACAGATGACGTATTCAAGTAATAAATACACAGTCTTACTGAACATAAAATACTCATTACTTTTGTCTTACTATTTCTTTTCAGAATCATGTAAACTTTATTCCTTGATACACGAGACTCCAATCAATCAATCTTTTACACTGGCATTTGACCCTTCCTATTTGGAAAGCTAATATATCTACCACAAATCATTTGTATTGATTGAATGTGAATCTAATGCAATATTCAGAAACTTTATCCTAGGAATTGTTTAAGCATACCAAAGTAAGATGGATATTAGGATATTGTACTCCATCTCTTAGAAGAAAAAAAGTTTTATTGCAGACGAGTGCAAAAGTTTCCACAGCCGCAAACGCTTGTATAACATGTATCTCAAAGTAGACATTTGTCTAACATTTAGCGAATATTGTGCAAATAAAATAATCCGCTTCTATACTTGGTGTGCAGTCGTCTTCAGATAGTTTTTCACTCTTTGTGTTCTGTATCTTTTATCTCGAGACATTCATCAGTTTTATAATCAATAACTCAAAACGCTTTCATATATAATAGGCTAGGCATTTTAGCCAAAAATAAGACCCAACCTCAAACAAATTCCTTCAGAAAAGATATTTGCATATTTGTTATCTACTATATATGTGCTGCTACAGGAAAAAAGTCCTCAAAAAATTTCGAAGTATAAAATGCTAAAAATGTCATGTTTTGAAATAATGTGTTTTCAATTAGAATAATCTGTGAAATTAAACAACCCAGATATTCTACGCAAATATGGTAATTAACAAAGTAACACATTAATACACAAACATGCTTTATTTAATCCAAAACATTTCAACCAATGTTGATTACATTCAAAAAGTCGTAACACTGCATAATCTATACATCATCATTTAGACTGGTATAAACATTACCCCACCCACTTAAGATAAATATTTTTTTTTACTTTAACTCAGATTCCATTAAATATTCTTACAAATTAGCTCTACCAAGATTAAAGTTGTATGAATCTATCTAAATTCATATTATAATTCAAAATTGCAATACATTTTACACAAATAATTATTATAATTATTATTTATATACATTGTATTTGCATTTCTGTTCTGAAAAATTAATCCTTCAAGTAAATATCTTACCAGTGCTAAATTGCACTTACTTTACCATGAAAGTTTTGTAAAAAAAAAAAATATTGTAAAAAGACATTTCAAAATAAAATGAATCTTGAACTGAATGTTAAGACACTGAAAAAACACAATGTTATTTCATCATTTTTTGTCACCGAGGCCCGACTATCCATATAGTCTGACAACGCTACACATGTATATATACATATTGCCCTGCTCTTGTTCCATGCTGAAATTATATCTCCACTTTTTCGGCCGGTGCTGTTGAAACCTTTAGCCTGCCCTTTTCACAGAGACACATTGTTTCGCATCTGTAAAATTGTTACAACATAATATGATAAATAAAAATGCGAACTTTGCATTCTGCTGACTGTGAAACATCATAATGTGCCATATAAGTAGGAAATACTGAACAAAACGGCACCTATACTTTCATACAGATAACTAAATTGGAAGTTTTGGTCGAGTGTTTAAGGTCACTGACTTCAAAACACTTGCTTCTTACGGTGTAGGTTCGAGTCCTGTCTGGGTTTTGGAATCTATTATCTGACATAGCTATCCCAAACTAGCTTTAGAGAATATTGGTGATTCTACGCGCTAAAAATAATACCTATGTCACACTTTTTCCTTTACCAGTAAAGCTTGAAAGTTATTATATGACCTGTAAAGTGTTGATGTGACATAAAAACCAACAAACAAATCTCTGATCTTAGTAATTCCGAGAATGTAAGAAAACTGCAGTTTTGGACACTAAAAATAAAACACTTTTAAAAGAAAATCATTTAACTTTTACAAATGTGAATTCCCTTTAGAAAAGTTATATATGCAGTAGCACACAAAATTGAATCTGGTACACCAACTGTGTATTAAAAATATAGAGGGATTTTCTTTGATTTACCTGTTAATTGCTTTTCAAAAATGCTGGATCTTTTCAAACAGAACCCATTTAGCCTCTCCTAACTTGGAAATATGGAAAGCTCTTGCCACATCCAATCAACGGATTGATTTATGTTTACCAAAATATAAAAGGCTGGACTCTCGCTAAATATTGTCTTCTGCAATCAACCATCACATACTATGTTTAGCCCTTTCTCTGAAAATAAGATAT